ATTCATAATGGTAGCAAAATTACAGTTAAGCAGCAGCACTGGAAATAATTTTATGGTTGGTAGTAACCACAACATGAAGAACTGAATTAAAGGGTCACAACATTAGGAAGGTTGATAACTACTGTTCTAGAATATCTAAAACTATAGGCTTGTGCCACCAGGCCTAGTCATATCTTTGTTTTTATAGTAGAAATATATCATAGAAATTCTAAGAAAGAAAAAAAAACGAAAACTATCTGTAGCTCAGTATTCCTTCACATCACTATAAATTGGGAAAGACTTTTAAAATTATAGAAACTGATGTAGGCATGATAATATACACTTATATTGCTGAGGAAGAAGAACTGCTGAAAATTCAAAGCCATCTGTGTGTATATAATTAGTATCAGGCAAGTCAAGGCTACACAGTGAGACCTTATCTCAAAAAGTTTAAACCTAAGAGTAAAATCTATTTCTGCAAAGAGCTCCATAAAAAAGTTGAGTTTTCACTGGGACTTTAGGAGGAATAATTTGAAAATTAACATGGGGTAATCCATTGAAAGTTGTTTTGCACAAAGAAACTCCCACCACCTGCCTTTAAAGTGAACATAGCAAAAGCAGTTTCAAACTTCAGCATTAACTTCTTTGAAGGGGTGAGTGAAAGACAATGAAAGGTCAATTTTTCTCTATTGGCGTATTTTTATAGGCACAACTAGAGTAAAGAAACAAGAGGCACAGTGTGATATGTGAGCACAGTAAGAGAGGAATTACTGCATTGTAATTTCTCGGAAATTCTAGAACGCATTATTAAACTCACTCATATATCAGTTATGTTGTTCACAAATCAAGTTTTTAACTGGTATTTGTAGGACTGGAGGGGTTCTTAAAATTTAACTAAAATGATGTTTTTTATATTATTATTTATTACAACTTACTCAGTTTGTATCCTGGGTGTGGTCCCCGCCTTTATCTCCTCCCAATCCCACCATCCCTCCCTCTTCTCCCCTATGTCCCTCCCCTAGTCCACTGGTAAGGGAGGTCCTCCTCCCCTTCTTTCTGACCCTAGCCTATCAGGACGCATAAGGATTGGTTGCATTGTCTTCCTCTGTGGCCTGGCATGGCTACATCACCCACCCACCCCCAGGAGGAGCTGATCAGAGAGCCTGCCACTGAGTTCATGCTGGAGACAACTCCTGCTCCCCTTACGAGAGGACCCACTTGGAGACTGAGTCTATGCACTACATCGGAGCAGGGGTTTTAGGTTCTCTCCATGAATGGTCCTTGGTTGGGGTATCAGTCTCTGCAGGGCCCCAGGGCCCAGTGTGTGTGTGTGTGTGTGTGTGTGTGTGTGTGCATGTACATATATATATGTACATATATATATATGTACATATATATGTACATATATATATGTGTGTGTGTATATATATATATATATATATATATATATATATATATATATATATAT